GCTATTGTTGCCAGACTTATTTCTGAATATCGTTCTTAATGTGATACCAAGTCCATCTGAGACCTGTGTACACCTTCAGACAGCCTCCAAGTGAAGCACACGTTGTTTACTCACAGTTTGAAAGCAGCGTGGAGAAAGTCTTCAGCTGTGTTAAGCTGTGATCCGCTCGAATACATCCTTAAAACCAGCTATTGTTGCCCGATTCATCACTGAATATCGCTCCTAATGTTATACCAAGTCCATCTGAGACCTGTGTACACCTTCAGACAGCCTCCCAGTGAAGCGTACGTTGTTTACTCAGAGTTTGAAAGCAGCGTGGAGAAGTTTTCAGCTGTGTTAAACTGTGATCCTCTCAGGTAAACTGTGATTCGCCCATGGGAAAATGGGATCCGCCCAGGCTAAACTGTGTTACGACTTCTGTGGCTATCTACCAGCGATCATGTTTAATATGAAAGACTACACACACATGTATCCCTTATAAAAACGGCATTCTGCAGCACTCATCCAGATAAAATGTGACTGTTAACTCGTTTTGCAAAGATAGCAGCAGAAATGTCATTAATGTGCAGGGATATTAGACTTTAAAATGCTGATGGGTCATTAATGTTGGTCTCTGCAAACAATATTAGGAATCCTTTATTCAAACTACATAATATTCAGTGTCCATCGACATGAAAATAACAAAAAAGTTCATGCTGGACTCAAACCCGAGTCCCAACAGCAAAAGTCACTCCAGCCCTGCGCGTTATGAGTGCGCCACGGATCAACACGATACCACGGTAAAACTAACAGTTATCACAACATAATGCGGGCTCGCAGGCTGATAAACTAGGATATCTGATCTCGGTGGGTCTTAATGAGGCTTGATACAGACCTCAGTCAGTATACTATATTATAATATGTATATTATATGGCTTAAAGTGTACATTCGCTCACATTATAAATGATGGTCGGGTTGCATTTTTCTGGAACTTTTTAACAAGGTTAATGTAAAATATTATAGTGCGGTGGTTCAATACGTCGTGTTGATCCGTGGCGCACTCATAACGCGCAGGGCTGGAGTGACTTTTACTGTTGGGACTCGGGTTTGAGTCCAGCATGAACTTTTGTGTTATTTTCATGTCGATGGACACTGAATATTATGTAGTTTGAATAGAGGATTCCTAATATTGTTTGCCGAGACCAAGATTAATGACCCATCAGCATTTTAAAGTCTAAATATCCCTGCACATGCAGCAATGACATTTCTGCTGCTATCTTTGCAAAACGAGTTAACAGTCACATCTTATCTGGATGAGTGCTGCAGAATGCCGTTTTTATAAGGGATGTATATGTGTGTGTCTTTCATATTAAACATGATCGCTGGTAGATAGCCACAGAAGTCGTAACACAGTTTAGCCTGGGCGGATCCCATTTTCCCATGGGTGGATCCCAGTTGACCCTGGGCGAATCACAGTTTACCTGAGAGGATCACAGTTTAACACAGCTGAAAACTTCTCCACGCTGCTTTCAAACTCTGAGTAAACAACGTGCTTCACTGGGAGGCTGTCTGAAGATGTACACAGGTCTTAGATGGACTTTGTATCACATTAGGAACGATATTCAGTGATAAGTCGGTCAACAATAGCTGGTTTTAAGGATTTATTCGAGCGGATCACAGTTTAACACAGCTGAAGACTTTCTCCACGCTGCTTTCAAACTGTGAGTAAACAACGTACGCTTCACTTGGAGGCTGTCTGAAGGTGTACACAGGTCTCAGATGGACTTGGTATCACATTAATAATGATATTCAGAAATAAGTCTGGCAACAATAGCTGGTTTAAATGATTTATTGGAGCTCGCAATGTTTTGAACAGACATCCCCAGTCAACTCGTTTTTCTTTTTGTAGTCCTCGCTGTTCACGTCCGGATATCGCCATCGTAACCACAACCTCACACACTGGTACTGAATGTGCATCAAAGTGTTCCTATCCAGCCAAATATACCAAAAGATTTATGTAAACGACAGAAGAAGCGATTGAAATGTGTATTTCAGTCGAAGGCCACGCCTCCACATCTGTCTACCAGTTGATCGGGGAACCAGTTAATCCGGAACACCGGCTCAGATGATTGGTCGTGCTTTTTACAGCGCTACGGCTTCCAGAGATTAATTTTTGTATGTATTTATTGTCAAAGCATTTAATATATTCATTGCTATCGGGACGTTAAGAGCATTCCATGAAATATAACAAAAAGTGTTTTCTGAAATAAATGACATACCCCATTGAATTATGACTGAAGATCGTCAGCTGTCTTCCTCTCCCTTGTTGTTCCTCGATACGTAAAGGCTGCACCACCGTTGACAACTTCTCTCTACATATCAAACATACCGGTAAACCAGCATCGTTTGCTGTGAAAGCATATAACTCTGTCCACACAGAATTAAATCCAGTGTTCCTCCGGTACTTTTCTTTGATTTATCCATAGTTCGCTCATCGAGCCGGGGGTCAGGTTATTCGCCTACAAGAAAAGGCGCTCGCGCGGGACCGTAGCAGGATGTGACGCATATTTTAGTTGACCTAATTAAAACCGTTTTGTTTTTTAGTTATGTGTCACAGTATCACCTCAAAATACAAGATACGAAACATTTTCAACCATGCAACAAAATATAAATAGTCCTACAAATACTTTTATTTGATTTCCTTCTTATTTTTGTCTAAGCTCAAGGGAGCCAGAGCAGAGGGCTTAAAGGGCCGCATGCGGCCCGTGGGCCGCGGGTTGCCGACCCCTGGCCTAGACCCCTGGCCTAGACCCACCATTTTAAGTCCTAATCCATGTGATGTAGTGCAAGTTGTTAAATACTCAAGAAAAGCAGACAAACATTTAAAGCTGCCATATTTTCATATTGATGATATAACTTTAGATTAAGTGTGATACCAAGGGGTTTGCTATAGAGACAAACTCACAGAGAGTTGTAACTGCCCTCTGCAGCTCCCCCCAGCTCTACAATGGTCTCACCCAAATACCCAATCTCTCATCAACCAAATTAACTTATTTTTCAACAAAAAAGGCTTTAATAAACCTATCCACCAACAAAAAGCAGTTAGATAAAATTAGCTGCTAGCTAGCTGAGCTAAACTAACTAAGTCCAACAGCTAGCAGCTGCGAAGATGAAACCGAAACAAAATCGATGAGACCGAAACAAAATCCTGCCACCAGAAACCACTGCATATACAAATTGCGGATGTTAGCAACATTAAATGTATACTTTTTGTCTATTGGTTTGTGTAGTTTAGTACTGTTTTCACTGAATGCTACTTCAGTCACTTTGCATTTAGAAGTACTTCACAATGCTGCTACTGATTTAAAAAATAAAAATACTGTGCACTTAACTATTTTATGTACTTGTGTTTACCTATACCTTTATAATGTTAACTATACTAATTGTTTTTGCCTATAACCTTTGCTGTAGCAACGGAACATTTCCCTGCAGTGGGGCTAGTTAAAGTGATTAAATGTCCGTTTTTTAGATTGTCTCCCAAGCAATTAGAAAACTCCCGCCTTACAACACGTTTAGTAAGGCGTATGTCCAACCATCATTACACACCAAAACTGTGTAATACATATTTGTAATAGTTATTTTCATTGTTTTTTTTATTTAACTTCCCGCAGACGCACCTGTCAATCAATCAGGTGTGACATTATTTTTTTAAAGGTTGTCTCCCTGTCTAGTTTCTTTCATAATTATTTTACAATATATTTTAGGGCCATAAAGTGCCTTTATTAGAGAAACAGTGTTGAAGGGAGGATATAGAGGGGATGACATTTGAACCCCCGTACTTGGCGGCGGTCACCGCTTAAGGGCCGCTAGCTCTAATCACTGCTATAACATTACATTACATCTCTAGCTATTTAGTTTATCCTTTATTTTGTGTGCACTGTGTGATTTTACTTAATTGAGCCGTACATAAAACACATTTCCCCATTGATCGACAAGCTTAAAAGATGAGAGTAAAACGTTTATGGATATAGCATAATATACATGTAGAGTTAAATAAACACTAATGAGTTATGTGTAATAAGGTCAACCCTTTTATTAATTGCTAACCTACACATTGTTGAATATTCAATAGGATGTACATATTTGTTTTCATCATCTGAACTTATATAATGTTCTGAAATGAAAACATGTTTTCAATAGCAGTCTGATTAAAAAGAGTTCACCTCTCAATTTATTCCCACACGTCCTCTATTCGAGGAATTCCTGTGACTTAATGATATGCTTCCACAAAGACTCCAAATGTCATTAGTTTGAGGAAATATGCATTGTGCAATGCGTGTTCTTATTGAATTATTTAATAACTGTGATAGCTCTGTCAGAAATATTCCAAGCATGAAATTAGGGCTTCTACCAGTGCGCTGCTGTTACATTTATTTTAATTTTTTTTATTCGAAGAAGAAATACTAAGAAATTACATACTGAAGGACATGCTGATAAGGAAATAACAGTGTATATGCAGATTCATGCAAGGCTTAATTTGTTTGTATAATAATTACTAGACGTCAAGCTCCGTCACCTTTCTTTTATGTACATTATTAGAACAGTTTATTGTATGTTTTGAAACCCACATGTGCTTGTTTTGATTTGTTCCGGAGTACAAACTACTGTTGCGGAAAACAACTTTGATCTTTTTTTGGAGAGAGATCATGAAAAACTCAAAGACTTCACCTCAGAGCACAGGAAGAGCTTCGGAGCCATGGCAACAGGAGCGCCAGGCTCTTGAAATGAAGTTGGCTATACCGAGGAGCAGTTTGCCAAGAATAAGCCTGGTGTGTGCCAGAAAGCAACCTTTCCTGCTGACACTGCTCCTGCCTCTAACGTCTTTCTCTGCCCTTCTCCTCTCCCCATCTTTCCACCTCTCGCCCCCTTCAATCCCTCCCTCCCCCATCTACAAAACCTCATACCTACTCCCTCGCATGTGTGCAACCTCTCCTTCTCCTTCTTCTTTCCTACCTCTCAGATTATGGTGTTGACAGATCCAGAGTTTGAAAGCAGCATGCTCATCAGCTCTGACGAGGGAGCCAGTTTCCAGAAGTACCGCCTCACATTCTACATCCTGAGCCTTTTATTCCACCACACAGAAGAAGACTGGGCCTTAGCCTACAGCCACGACCAAAAGGTGAGATTGCGATATGCATACTTTTCTCTACCTTTGTGTTGCCCACTATACATATTCAATAATGCCTATACTTAGATAATTACTTTATGGTAGGGGCATTCATCCATTTTCTGGAAATGAATTCTAAAATAGTGGTATGAGCCTTTATTTACCAGAAATAAATAGACCCTTTTTTAGAATATATTATCATATTTTACTTGGAGATATTCCGGTTCTCTGACCTGCTCCCATTTGCAATATAAATATGAGTTTTGATGCCAAGGCAAACTAAATACTTCCTTTACTGTTCAACTATAAATCCCTTCAAGTAGTAACAGAGCATAATGGCATTAATGAAAATGACGTGTTTGCATAATTGGTTAATGGACTGCTGAGAACTTTTGTGTTTTTGCGGCCCTTCAAAGTGCTGTCATATACGGACAGAGGCTGCCATACAAGGTGCCACCTGCTCAAGAAGACTACCATTTGCACTGTTGGCCATCGGTAATAACATGGGGTTCAGTATCTTGCCCAAGGTTACAGTGACATGTTGCCTGCAGGGGCTGGGAGTCAATCCACTGACCCTCCAAACTGCAGACCACCACTTTTTCTCATCGCCACGGTTGCCCAAATCGCAAAACTCAGACTCAGGTGCAAAAGCTAAATCTTTACTTACAAAAAAGGTGGAAGACTACAAAAATCCAAGCTGGCAAATTAACTATTAAAAGGCTGAATGGAGATCCGGAACATTCAGGCAAAGGTCAAAAGGTCTTATGTGTTTTCCTACGCAGTATACCTTAACATGAGTCAAAACATTCATGAGGATAAGGAAAGAGGTGAAGGAGAACTCATCAGGAAAAGATGACCACGGTCCCAACGTATTTGTGATGCGCCAGCAGGTGTTATTCAGTGGGTGAGCAGTGGGGAACTACACGTTTCTTTACAGTGGACTATATATAAGCACACTTAGGTACTTTGACCTGTGCGCTCTTATGGTGTTATTTTATGGAGGCTTCACAAACGTGGATTACACCCTCCTGCCCATACTCAGTCATCCAAATAAATCCTCAATCAACAAATATTTTGAATAAATAAAACTTTTAGCAAAATGTGTAACTTTTTAGTGCTATGCATCTGTCACTGCATAGCCCTGTTCAAACAGCAACAAAGAGACCCCAAACAACTCAGTAAACTCCTTAATATTTTGACTGCACTTTGGCAAGTTATGGCATGAGATGGAAATTGCACAATGAGCACCGTTACTTACATGATCAGCATTTCACGGCCACGATAGGTTGTTTCTGTAAGGGGCCGAATGGTGCGTCGCTTTACATGTTACGGCCCGAGGTATTGTGGGACAGCATTATCAATTTACGTAAAGGATGGTCCAGTGTATCCTAAACTGAAGGAGATTATAAAGGAAGCATTGTCGCTCCTTCCTTTACCATCAAGATAATTCAAACATTTTATATAATGGTTGCTTCTTAGGTACTTCAGGGTTTCACTCAGTTAGGAACCTTTGGAAGCAAATTGACATATTGACCGCAACCCTCGTAAATATACTAGGGAGTTAATAAGGGAATGAGCAGGAGAAGTGCATCCAGTGGCGTTTTTATATGTACAAAAGTGGTGGGGCACAAAAAACTTAGATGTCTATATATAAGCTTCTGCAGTGAGGTTCATGGCTGGTGAGGCACTAGCACTGACTCTTCAGGTTTACAAATATTATATTTTGACCTAAATCAAAATATAATAATATTTTCAAAAGCTTTTTTTGTCTGATGCTTCAATTAATTTTAAACAGACAGTTCAACAAAAGGATACCCAACAAATGTAATTTTATCATTTAAATATTGAATTGTTCTCTCTTAGTAGGATCCCATTATCAATACAATTGCAGTCTTACCTTGACTTGAAGATTAAGTCCATTTGCCTATCCTTCTGGACAAAAATCTCTATTACTTTTTTGTAAAAGTCCTCCCTATCTTCTTGTAGTTTCAAAAGTCTATCATAAATCTAAATGATGGATTTATGATTCGAAAATGATAAAAGTAGGGTAGACATGTGGATATTATCCGGCTGAACAAAACGTGCATTTATCTAACAGCTACGTTTCCCACAGACCTTATTTGGAGCTATTTTCTAAAATCCTATGGAGAAATCTCATTGCTTTTTTGTCGAGGGAAGCCCATGGATGTATAATAAGAACTGGATACAGCGTAGGAGCATGGATGTATAATATGCGCATGCGCAGCTTACTTCCTGGTTTTAGGATGCGTGACTGCAGCTCTCTCGTCTGCTCTTCACACATCACACTTTTCGCGGCACACGTACTTACAGCCAATCAGCTCTGAATGATGTGAGATGACGTATGGTGGGGATGGCAGCACTATGCCCCTATGGTCATTATTTTTTTGCCACACACATTAAATAGGAAAATATTCTGAGCATGCGCAGTGTAGTTTTTACAGTCACCGTTCAGTTAGACAGTGAGAGGGAGGGGCAGGATCGGGTTTTGTCCCACATGGCTCTAAACAGCTCAATAGGCACACACTGTAGACACTAATTAGAAGAACACAGACTAAAACAGCAATGTACAGACGAATCAGATGATTAAACATGATCTTAAAATATATTTATATATTTTTTAATTTATTTTTTGCATTTTGTTGTAATCATTATTTTAATACTGCCCCTAATGACCAGTCGCCACCAGGGTGGGAATTTCACGACGGCCACGACGGCCATGGCCGTCGTTGCCCCGCACTTTGGCCGTGATGCCCTGTGAAAAAAAATGCAATTCACGGCCAAAGTGGCCTTGGTGTCCCTGTCAAAGTTCCAGTGTAAACAACGCTAGTAAAGTCATATTAGTGCGCGCAGTAGGATAGTCCCGTGCCTGTAGATCAGAGCGATTGCTCTGCTGTGATTGTTCCGTCAGAAATGCCTGTAGGGGCCCGACAGCCTTCTCCTCAGCCGCGGGAGCAAGACAAGCACAGGTAAGCAAGCGGACTAAGCTGTTTTGATATGATTTAACTGAAGTATGTGGTAGTATTTGAAAGGACTTAACATTTACGTGTTTATAGAAAGTACTATTGATAGGTAATTACCATTGTATTAGCCTATTTAAAGTCGACTCGTTACATTTTGTCATGAAAACTAGCGATAGCTAGCTAGTTTGGATAGCGCTAACGTCTTCCCTTCAAGGGGTCTACATCTAGTGTTGCTTCTACAAGCTAGCAGATAGCTGTCACCTTTGAATCTAGTATTTTTCTTGCTAAGCGGTTTTGATATAATACATGACTGACTTATGTGGTTTATGGCTGAACTTAACGTATACGTTAATGAAACACTATTGCTATTCAGCCATTTGTAAAACGACTGGTGTTGACGTTAGTGCTACACTTTTCAGTCATGTTGATTGACCAGCGTAATTTAACCAAACGGCCTTTGTGCTCTGTCATGTGGCCTTTGTGCCCTGTCATGTGGCCTTTGTGCCCTTGAAAAAAATGTGAACGGGAAGGCCAAATGGCCTTGCCCCTAAAATGACGAAATTCCAAGCCTGGTCGCCACTGAGTGCGTCTACTGATGGATGGGCAGAGAATGACGTAACACAAACAAACTAAAAAGAATAAGAATCATAAGTATAAGAAGTTAAACTCAAAGCCATGACAGTCCCTTTGTTGCCTGAACAGAGCAGAGACCATGATGTCACTTTTTTTTTTTTTTTTAATTAAAAAACACTGACATGATCTCATCCTCCGCTTCACTTCCATCACCTTCACTGGGCTTTGTCACACAGTATGGAGCTCTGCACAACATCTTCAGACAGTGCTCTAAGATTGTCCCCCAGCAAAAGGTCTGCTATTAAGGTCAATGACGGTGACCCGAGAGCCAAAGCCATCACGCTGCGGGGTAGGGGACGTGGAGCAGGAGGGAGATGATTGGTGAACAGTGGTGGCTGTATCAAACCTGACAGCGATGAAGCTTTGAAAAAGTTGTCACCGCATGAGCAAATGTCAGAGTTATTCTCGGCTGAGTGGATTTACAGCGCCTAAGATGTACAGGGTCACTTAAAAAAAATGCATTATGTAACAATAACTAGTTACATGAAGACAAATGTAATCAGCAACCTAAACTGAGTATGAAAATATTATAGTAATGTAACTTGTTTACTTTGCATTACTTTTTGATTACTCCAATATAAAATGCAAATTGTATTATGTAAGACAACAGAACAATGTACCCTTAAAAAAGAAGAAACCAAGATATTTGGGATCAGATAAGTGTCCTCAGCTTAGAGATTGTATCTATAAGAAAACCTGCCTTACATTTAGCATATTCAGGCAGTAGCCTATACAACAACAATGAAACACATGAGCACAAACTAAAGTTTAAAAAAAGCAGAAATAACATTTGAGCTGACAGAAAATGCTCCGTTATAGTTTAATACACACAGTTAAGCTCACACACATTATTTTATGAGCATATAGGTTCACCTCCTAAATTAAAAAAATAACAAATGAACCAAAGAAAGTGAAAACCATAAATCAGATTCAGGCAGCAGGCGTTTAGATTCACACTTAAAGTATTAGTATTCTTTAGTAATATTGTAATCTCCAATTTGTTGTTATGTAACAGTGAACCGATTACGTCTTTGTTAATGTATCTGTAAGGTAATACAGCTACCTTTTTTTGGTTCTTGATGACGTAATCCTGTTACATGTGATTCCTAAGCCTGTGCATCAATGGGTATACACAAAGAAATGAACCTGTAGGTTTTTTACTGGATTTTAAGCGTTTATCATCATGTTATATTCAGTGACAAAAGTTATGGCTCTTGCAAATTGGAATTTCCTCAAATCTAACTTCAAAATCTTATTTCCACACATTTAGCATAAGGTCAATGAAAGCAAAGCAATCATAAGGATCTTGACTTTTGCACATGTTGCTGCTGCTATTTTAGACTGCGAGAGTAACTAATAAGAAGAACAAGTCAGCCAGGTTCAAGAAATCCCTGTGAA